GCTCTTCCCAAATGTGCTCTCATCCAGGCTGAAATGGACTGCAGTTTCCACCTCGCATAGGTCTTACCAACACCTCCAGGGGGACTCCAACCATGACAAGTCAACGGGAAACCTCGACACGCTAACCACTATACCACATCACCACGGCTGCCTTTAGGCCATTGAGCAGATTTGAACTTAAAGATCAGGCATTTTCCCATATCGCATCGCGGTCCCGAAACCCTATTTATAAACCAAAAATGATTTAGATCGTATATATGAAGGCCAAAGTGGTGTAATCTTTTTTGACTGTTTTTCATTAATTGGAAAACCTTTCACCGAATGAGGGAATTCCTAGTTGCTTTTTTTCATTTCTTACAGCATCACTGAAAATTGCTCACTATTTAAGAGGTTAATTTAGTCATGTTATGTAAGCTGAATGCTTTTCTTCAGGTGGAGCTACGCACACAAGCCTTTGGGGCGCGTCATCTTATTGTGAGCGCCGTCGTTTGGCTCGTCAATCAGACTGGATTACCTCTGGTATTCACACAATTGGCACATGCTTCTCCAGTATATATTAGCAAGGGTCTCCTTTCTTCAACATCGCCTCCTCGGCAAACCGGTGCATCTGCTTTCGACTCTACTTTTAATGCCTTTTCTTCCAATTCTGCTGTCAATGGTGAAACAATTCAAGCTCACATGGCCACTTTAGCGGCTGGACAGCAGATTGAGCATGAAATGGCTCGCTTAGTGTCGCCACTCCTTTACTCTGTCGCCAGCCGAACTGAAAAAATGCAGGTTCACGTTCGGATCGGCTGCGGGTAAGGAAAGAGATTCCTCTGTAGTTTTCTATTTTTGTTGGAATATTTCATATGTTTTTTGAAGTAGTCATATTACTATAAGTGAGTTGACCTTGTTGTGACAACTTGGTCTTTTTGTCAAGGCGACTTAGTAGAAACCACTTATTCCGAATTCGTTTGCCATAGTAGTTGTCATAATAACCTAGCATTGGACAGTAAACTTAGTACATTCTTAAACGTTTCGCCGGCATTGTAGTCCTCATCATCAGTGAGTTTTGCCATTATCCGCACCAAGCTACGAACTCATTAGAGAGAAGTGAAGTCAACCCCTCGACAAACGTTCTGCCGAAAACGGTTACACTATAACTCCTCTTTTTATTATGGCCTATCTATCTACTCTTTACGCTCTTATTAAAGTCCCGCCCTATCACAACTTCTCACTTGTTTACATTCCACTCGTCAAAATGTGCCCTTTTGTGGCAAATCTAATGTGGCCTCATCACACCTGCTATTTATCCCGATCCCCTCTCTTTTGATCGGCTAATCCGACTCGGGCCTACAATTCGGATCCTCTCATGGTCCTGTATATCCGTTCCTTATCTTCCTGTTTGACTGATTTCGCTCCGTTCCAGTTCCACTGTGCGTTTCACTTCAGGCGCTATTTCTCAAGGTCCTAGAATCATCTGACTTTTTTAAACTGTTGTAAACGTTATGGTATCACTCCTAAGTTCTGTGACTCTTCCCCTCGGATAAGGTTAATGACTATTTCCACCAGACTTCTATTCTAAATCTAAGACCTATGTTACAGAGCGGAATAAACTGTTTAAGTTTATCGCTATTAACTCAAAGCTCTGGCGTGATCTGTACAGGATCCTGTCTTAGGAAGATTTTCAAAAACTCTAGAACATGACCGACAGGAAATCACGATGGATTTCTGACTTAATAACAAAACGACATGATGATAAATTGCGTAAATTTGGGATTATAAAACAGCCTAAGTTAAATTTTTGAGCTTACTTCCATTTCGAGTGAAAGCGTTGGGTGAAGAGATTCGAAGGTCGGTTCCATT